AACATGATGCCCTGGTCCCCGGCCCCCAGTTCCTCATCACTGCGATTGACGTGGACGCCCGAGGCGATCTCCGGCGACTGCTGCTCGATGGCCACCAGGACGTTGCAGGTCTTGTAGTCGAAGCCTTCGGGGTGGTGATGGGGTGATAAAATTGTATGAGTTTTTGAAAAACAATTAAAAATGATTGAAAGTACCTTTCTCGCTGGAGTCGTAGCCAATGCGCTTCACCGTGTTCCGAATCACCTCCTGGTAGTCGATCGTCCCCGAGCTGGTGATCTCCCCGAAGACCATGATCATGCCCGTCTTGGTCACCGTCTCGCAGGCCACCTTCGAGTTCGGGTCCAGCTTGAGGAAGGCGTCGAGGACGGCGTCGCTGATCTGGTCGCACATCTTGTCTACGATAAAGGGGTTGATAATAAGATTGAGATAAGAATCCGCTTGATAAATTCTTGATAATATTCTAATCTAATCTCTAATAGTTCCTCCTCTTACCAGGATGTCCCTCGCCGACGGACTCCGAGGTGAAGATCAGCGTCTCCTCAGTGTCCTGACTGTGGCCATTGGCTTTGCCGTTGGCAATGTGGCCATTGGCGACGTGGCCGTTTGTCTGTTGCTGTTGCTGCAATCCANAATAGTAAAGTGTGATGATAAGAATTTGCTTGATAAGTTCTAATTTCTTTTAATCTAATCTCTAATAGTTCCTCCTCTTACCAGGATGTCCCTCGCCGACGGACTCCGAGGTGAAGATCAGCGTCTCCTCAGTGTCCTGACTGTGGCCATTGGCTTTGCCGTTGGCAATGTGGCCATTGGCGACGTGGCCGTTTGTCTGTTGCTGTTGCTGCAATCCATTCTGCTGCTGCTGATGCTTTNGGTGTCCTGACTGTGGCCGTTGGCTTTGCCGTTGGCAATGTGACCATTGGCGACGTGGCCATTAGTTTGCTGTTGCTGCAATCCATTCTGCTGCTGCTGATGCTTTTGCTGCTCCAACTTGAATACCGACATTGTTTCCTGCTGCAGGCTGACTGGTGGCGTGAGGTCTATGGAAATGTTTGCTTTGGGGAAAGTGCTTTGGGAATCGCGTGAACGGAATTCACGTGAGGAAAGTTGGGAATGTTTGGGAAAGGTCTCAGCTGAGAGATAGCAAGAGAGTAGCGTAACGTTCAGTGAAGGGAAAACTTTCTTTCAGTGATAGCTTTCGAAAGTCGAGGTTTATCGCCTGAAAGTGGTATTTCCTCTCTGAAGCTCTTTGTTAGCTGCTGCTGCTGCTGTTCGGCTCAGCGAGTGAATGATGCCGACATGTGGGCAAGTGGCTTACTTTTTATAGCAACCAAAGAAGAAGAAGAAGTAGAAGAAGTGAACCAAGGATGTCGTGGCTTTTCGAGGCAGTGCGCTGATAAGAGCAAAGTGGGATGCACCCCCACCACCAGAAACTGGTCTGCCAAAAGGAGCTGCTGATAAGAAATATTATTTACAGCAATGCTTCGGTCGCTTCGAAGACACAGGCACAAGCTTGAGATGATAATCGTTGATGCTGGAGATGGTGATGTACTCTTTATGCCTACTGCTTTATGATGATCACCATCCTCAAATGCTGGTCACCAGGACTTTTCCCGCCCCTCAGCTTTTTCTCGACCCATTGTGGTTTCCCCTTTTCTTTTTTCCACTGATGACATCAACCCAACAAAAAATTAGTACACGTCCTTCATATCTTCTCCACCTCAGACAGACTTTGATGCCGCCAGCGATTTTATGATCACTGATCACCAAACGAGAGAGACATCAGAAACCGCCTGATTATAAGGCCAGTAAATTAATTTGGGGGCTCAGATTTCAATCTCGTGCCACGCCTATCTCTTTTGATGTACATTTTTCGACTTTTTCTTGCTTCGGCGACCTTTTCGGGTTGTTTGTCTGTCTGGAGAAGGAGAGAGAGAGAGAGAGAGAGAGTTCCGTCACGTTTCCCCTCCAAACGTGCCCAAACAAAAAAAAGCTGCTAGATCATATCATTGCATAACGATTGTGCCCAACTTCAAAGAGAGAAAGTGCAAGAAGGAAACTACCTCCCCAGCTTTGATTGAGGAGCAAATAAACAAGCGGCGTAATTAGCGCCTGTACGACAAGTTCATCTTTGTGTTAAGCAGTGCTTAATAGCAGCAACAGCCATTCGAGACGTTTCTATTTGAAGAGAGAGAGAGAGTTGATAAGAGAATGTGAAAAAGAGATTGCCTTGATTTGAGTGCCTCCGTTGGTTGCTTGAACACATTTCAGGCACAAGTGGCTCAAGTTGCACGACCTGACTGAAAAAAAGAAGGGAACAGCAGCAGCTGTACGAAGTCGAAGACGACAAAATGTTTCTTCATATCTTTGAAACTTGTAAATGACTGATAAGGGGCGACGAAATGGAGAAAAGCTGAAGCAAAACTATCCTCTTCTTCTTCTTGGTTTCATCATCTTATCAGTCATTATCAAGGCACGCAAGCAAGCTCAGTCCTCTTCACTTTGGTTCACTTTTTCTCTTCAGCTGTGTTCTTCAGATGCCTCGGCAGTTGTCCAAATATGGTCAAATATGAGATATTTTCAGCACTTGTGCTTCTTCTTCTTCTTCCGTCCACAAACCCATTCATCCAAAAGGCTGATATCAAATCAGCATCAAACTTTAAAGATCTCTTCGGCAATCGGCTGCGTACAGTTGCACTT